TCATCATTTTTAATCCCCAAAACCCCAAAACCCCATAAAACAACATTTAACTTAAATATTAAATGCTTTTATTAATTCGTAAATAATTTTATATTTTCGCATTAAATCATGAAATTTCTATTTGTGGATTGCTTTCTTTCCTCAAAATAGTACCCAGTTCCAAACTACATTAACCATCTTAAAAATTTAATTTTGCAGGTAAGTTTACTAAGATAAATTATCATTATTATAGGCATAGCAAGCAAATAAACTTGAATTAGGATTAGATGATGAGATAATTTTCGAGACAAGGGCATTTAAAGATCTTTCAGATTTACTCTATGATCCTAAAACTCTGCAACTAAATGATAAAAAGCATAAGTTCTTAGACATGAATGCTAAGACTAAATTTGAAGCAATTGATATGGTTTTCATTATCGGCGATGTAACGACTTAAGCTTGGGACTTTACTCTGTATTAAGTAAAATATTTCGAATAAATGAAATAGGTATAAACATTAGTGAGACTGTGTATGCAAGTATCAAAACCTCTAATTGGATTAGGTTTAGGATTAAACTTGTTGAATTTATATAGCAGCACTGGATTACCTTTTGACTATGTTTTTTATGTAGATCGTACTGAAGAGGAGCGATCGGAGTTAAAAGCAGAAAAATATAAAAAGGCATTAATAGATGAGCAGAGTGGAGACTATTATTTATATAACGCTCATCAGGATAAGCTGAACTTAGTGGGCCACATAGGTTTCTTCAATAATTACTAGCTTAAAAGAAAGCAGTTTGATGTCAGTCCAATGAGATAAAACTTCAGATTGACAAGCAATGAATGCATGGCTAAAGTACGTAAGATCTATGTCTAGCATCCTGTTGTGAAAGGCATTCTGACGAACCAGTTTAAAGTTATTGTGAGACAAGCTTAATGGTCTTCACTGCAATAACTTCCTCAATTCAATCAAAAACAAACTTTCAAGACAGTGGTAGAGGATGCGATTACCAAGCATGCACTTGTAATAGAAATGTCTAATGCTTTTGGAATACTATTTGATATTAATGTTAATGATCCCAATTCCTAGTTTATATTCAAAAATGCTGTAGCCATAAATATGCAAAAGATTATCGATAATCTATTTAACTTTTAAAAAGACAGCCCAAAATGTATTTATGAAGAGGTGAGCAAAAGAAGTTTCTTTGGAGGTGCAGCAGCTAATATTAGCTAATAAACCCCTCTGAAGAAATCATTTTTTACTATGAGAGGCTAAGAAAATCATCTTAAATACTCAGGGTAAAATGGTATTTCAAATAATCTAAGCTAGTCTGATTTAATTGATAATAACACTCTTGATAATATGACAACAGAAAGTAAGGCCAATAATAGAAGTGTCTTGATTCTACCAAAATAAATTAAGAATATTTATAGTGATCGAAGGGATTCTTAAGAGTTTACTGATAATCAGAGGTCTCGTAGCTTCTTATAATAATCAACTGAGAATATCCCCTAAATAAATTGCAATGATAAATTTGAAGAAAACTTCTTCAAAAAGATCTTGAATTAGTCTAGGAACCTCAGAAGTCCAAATTATGATTAGCCTAGTAGTCAAAATCAATAAAGAATCTAGTTCACTATAGATAACTCTATCTACTAGAATAGCTATGCTGAGTCTAAATAAATTTCAATTAGGCGACCTAGTAAATTGGCTTTAAGGAGTAGAGCATCGATTCATTAGAGTTTCAATAACATTAAGCCTTAGAATCGATAGATGTCGGAGAATAATCTTAAAAGAAATGAGAGCACAGCATACTAAGACAAGAATTCTCCAATGAATAAGCTCTATAGGAAATATAAGGAATTCTAGGAACAAGAGGCCTAGTTTTAGGAGAGAGACCTTAGTCAGGTTAATAAATCAATGCAGGCAACTATTCTAGGAGAAAAACTGTATAAAGAAGGCTATAGACCACCAGTGGATAAGAAAAAATGGATATCATCTAGTGATTTCAAAGCAAACGTTGGAATAGCATCAACAGGGAATGGATTCACAAAGTCAACTGAGACTTATGTAACTCGAGATCCTTCTGAGAATCCTCTTATTCACTAGTTTAGAGACAAATCACCTAAAAAGTGGTTGTATGGTAGCTTCAAAATATGATTTTGAATATAGAAAATTAGCAAATGGTTTTAATCTTAATTTCATAAATTTAATAATCTATTTCACAAATCTTAGGTTAGCATTGCATTCGTTATATATTTAGTCAGTTATCTGGATCTCATACCTTTCTGGCAGTAGGAGACTTGCTTGTTCTGCCAGGGCTACCAGCAGTTCTTCTCATTGGACTGGGATTAGCACTATCCTCCTCAAATGATGCTTAGGTCTCAGTCTTCTCCTTCTCCAGTTCGGCATAATTCTTTAAGAACTCATCAATGAGCATGTATCCACCTCCAACTCTGATGATAAGTTTACCGTTCATAATCTTCGCAAAAATTTTCTTGGAGCCATACATATACTGTCCATCTCCAAGTCTCTTCACTGGGACAAAGTAAGGGCATTCATTTAAATACTTGGCCATCATCTCATCGATTGGATCTCCTTTAACTGGAATGTACCATTTTCTTGGTTCTGGCTTTGATTGAACATTTTCAAGTTCTTTTCTTTTGCGTTCTTCATCATCTCTTCTCTTTTTATCCTGAATCTCTTGCAATTCATCTTGTAATTGCTAGATAAGCTTATCCTTTTGTCTAATCATATCATCTAAGTCTGCAATTTCTCCCTCTTTGCCTCTGTGGACATCATCTAATTCCTGGATTTTAGCATCTTTTTCTTGGAGTTCAGCATCAATATCTCTTATCTGAGACTTTAAATCTTCTAATTAGGCTCTTTGGTCTAACAACATGCGTTTCTTTTGGTTAATGTCTCTTTAGACTATTTCAACGTTATTTTTTAATCTGGCAATCTGCTCTTCATTTTAAATGATGTTATCATTATTCTTGCTTATCTCTTTAAGATTGCCAATCATATCATTAAAAAGATGAATCTTATCTCCAACTAACTTATCATACTGCTTAATGAGTCCTTACAATTCATCTTGCATAGCTCTGATTTCATCTTCATTGACACTGCTTTGAATCTTGGCCTCAATATCCTCTTTAACTCTGATCACCTCAACAAGTTTTCTATTTCTCTCAAATATCTGTGAGATATACTTATCCACAAGTTCTCCAAGTACTTTAGATTGGTTACGATACTGATCTTCTTCGATTGCCTTCTTGACCACAGCAATTTTTCCTTACCACCTCTCAAGAATATGTTCAATTTCAGTTTCCATTAGTGAGGTTTTTCTTGCAGCATCATCAATATTAATTTTCATTTGCTAGAGTCTGCGCTCTTCATTCAATCCGATGTTTAAGTCTCTTCTAGTTTTAAGTCCCTCAACCTCTTGTTCAAGTACAGAGTTTTAAGTACTCAAAGCATAGTACTGCTTCTGAGCCTCAGCAAACTAAGCTCTAAGCTAGGCAGTTTCCTTGTAGTTCTCATCAATACTTTGTTGCAACTATTCAAACTACTTTCTATAGTCATTCATCATATCTTGAATGTTTTCCTTAAGCTGATTAGCGTAGTTCTCCAGTCTTTCAAGTTCATGTTCCAACTCCTTATTTTTGCCCCTGATGGTTTCATTTTCAGTTTTCTTTTGCAATACTTCCTGTCTTACTCTTTCTAAATCTCTAAGAAGTTCTTCTCTTTTCTTAGTCTATTCTTCAAGCAACTTATTCAGATCTCTTTGAGCTTTCTCATAGTTAGACTTAAGATTTTTCTCAAGCGCTTATTGCTTTGTCTAGGTGTTTTATGCCAAGTTAAAGCTGTCCTCACCGGCTCTGATCTGATCTTTGATGTCATCTCCAACTAATTTTGACACTCTCTTTTCCTCTGATGCCTTTTTACCAAGTAACTCATCTTCCTTCTCTACAATCAGTGAGATTTTCTTATTGTCCACATTAGTAACTTCAATTTCATGCTTCAACTGTCTGATTAAATGCTCAATCTCACTTATTTGTTTCCTCATGGAATCCTTATCATTTGCCTTTGCTTGGAATTTATATACAAAGTCTACATTTTCCTTCTCGATATCTCCCAATACATTTCTCTTTCCATCGAGTACCTTCACTAACTCCTTCTAAATGGATAGGTTCTCATTCTCAAGATATTCAACTTGCTCCAATTCCTCATCTAAGTGAGCTCTGCGATCTGCTTAAGACTGGTCGATTCCCTAAAGTTCTTTCTCTAAAGAAGAGAACTGCTGCTTTCTAAGGTCAATGAAGTTTATCTTGCGCCACTCATCCTTAGCTTTTTCGTCTACTGCTATACTGCTATTGATTTCTAAAGGAAAATAATAATTAACAAAGTTTGATGGTTACTGGACATATTTTAAGGTCTTTAAAAGTTGTTAAAATGAAATTTATAATTCAATTTAAATTCTTCATAATTTCACCTTATTTTCCAACTCGGGGTTTTGGGGTTTTGGGGTTTTGGGGTTTTGGGG